TGACTGCTTTGTTTCGCTCTCTGGATCCATCCTCCACCTCAGGGCTGTTTTCTGACTCCGAACGGACTCCCAGCATCCTCTGGGGGTCGTTTGGTTCAAACCTGTGGCTTTCCTTCTGTTAAACTTTGCAGATTTTTTGAAAAACCAAGCAGAGAGGGCTGATTTTTCCACTTTGGACTGTGTGGGTAAACATACAGCACTTTGTCCCGTTATCAGGAGGCCCTTTTAGGGGCGGGGTTAGTTAAATAATGGTGATGGGCTAAGTTCAAATCCTAATTTAGGTTGTCTTTAGCCGTCAACTATCACAAAAGGCTGAAATAAAATCACTTGAATGAGAGTAACTGTGTTGGGAATTTGGTTAAAATAATACACTTTGTATTGATAGTTCACTTTACCGTTAGCAGTAGAGCACATAGGTCTGCTTTAGTCTGGTCCAGAACACTTATATATAGGGGTAATTTGACCCTCAACCACATGATCTGGGAAGGTATTACACAGAATAATTAACTCCGATAGTTTACCGGTTAATTCTCAAATCTCAAATCGGTCCAAAAATGGCTGCATAGGCAGCCAGAAAAAGCAGAAACCTACTCCCTGAAAATGATAAATAAATAAATACGGGCTCCCAGGCCTCGGGTCAACGAAACGTTGGTGTTGTGTAATGAAGCATTAATCTGTCCTTAAAAGTCTGAACGGGCCGCGAGGTCATTTGGGAGCTCGGAGACTGAAATCCCAGGAGTGACATAACAGACTCGCTGACACAGATCTGGTGATCTGCTGCTTTAATCAAACAGAGCCCCCCAGAACACAAACTCCCAGGATGAAAATTACACAGCCTTTAATTAAGCTCCCCGTCAGGAGCTTATCGGTAGTTACATGTAATCAAACCTTCGGATTAGCAAGTACAATGAAGCTAAACGTTCGAATCAACAAATCTTTGCTGATTCAGCAGTCTGGATAGTTTCGTAACTTTGGACACTAGCACGCTTTTGTGTAATCCATGCAAACCCGACGAGTACTAAAAAAAAAAAAGATGGTGGAAAAGCGCTCTTTGGAGGTTCGATGGGAAAAGAAACGGAAATAAATCGATATATTTAATAGCCGACGACAGACAGCTTCGTTCCACCAATAAGTGAAAAGAACATAAAGAGAAGAAAGACTAAAAAATCTGCTAATGTTCAATTCCTCGTGGAAATGAAGGCTTGGTAGGGTCTGAACAAAGAGCTCTCCAGGAAAAGACCTCCGGCATTACGTAAGAAATAAGTTACCAGCTGGAAATTTCCCTGTCAGGGTTAGAAATATGGGGTTTTAGCCGGATGTCCGGCTCTAAACCCAGCAGCTCATCGTCTCTCCTGGAGGTTTGGTCTATCTGCCACTTCCAGCTTTTCTTTTTTACAACAGATTCTAAGGAAGCCGGAAAATCCCCGGAAAGAAGACACGCTCGAACCTTCGGATAGGTGGATCCTTCAGGACCCTTTAGACCCCTCCTTAAGGAGAGTTTCGGGCTTTTGCAGAAACAATTTGTTCAAATTATGCTATAATTACTCACTTTAGCATTGTAGGCTAAAACAAGGTACGGTGGTATGGTGGTTAACACCATTGCCAGCGGGTTCTGGGTTGGAGTCCCGGGGGAACCAGGACCTTTCTGGGTGGTTCTGCATGTTCTCCTGTGTCTGTGGGTTCTCTCCGGGTTCTCCGGCTTCCTCCCACCCTCCAAAAACCTGCATGTTAGGTTGGCTGGACTCCAAACGCCCTTAGTGTGAGTGTGTGTGGTTGTTGGTCCTTGCGTGTCTCTGTGTGTCCCTGTGATGGACTGGGGACCGTCCAGGGGGACCCCGCCTCTCCCCATTGGCTACTGGGATAGACTCCAGTCCCCCCCGTGACCCCATTAGGGAATAAGTGGTAACGATATTGGATGGATTGCTATCACATGATCTATGTAAATCACTGATTGTTTTATTTTCTTTAATAACTATATTTTGTGTTAAAGTCTCTGGCTGTGTCCACAGACTCTCTTTTCTCTCTTTTTCTTTCTCTGTTGCATTAGATCCACCTTTAGGTCAACACACACACACACACACCATTTGTCACCACATTCCTTTCGTCTGCATGAATTAGGACCTGGCCTGTTCGTGCCCAGAGGTAACTGGCCAATAGGACTTGGTTGTGTCCAGTCCTCCTTTGAGGAGGCGGATGGAGCCCAGGAGATAATGCCCATCACCCAGATCTCAGGGCTCTTTGCCCACTGAGACCCAGAGAGAGGTTTTTATCTGTGATATACTTCTCCTGTGCCTTATTCTCCGGTTTCCAACTAAAGAATCGGGATAAAACATGCTATTCGGGGACGCCGGGGGAAGATAACGAAGCAATAATCAGCGGAACGAGAAGCACTCTGCAACGTAAGTGCTGTTAAAGCGGAAAAGAAAAAAGCCAGAAGCCGGTCGATAACATCTCTGCGATTATCTCCTGTACAACAAGGACAGAACTGGAGCCCTGAAGGACCAGAGACTCTCAGGGCCCCAGGAAGCAAACCAGGAGGTCGCTGGTTCAACGCCCAGATTCTCCAAATGTGTCCTACGTTCCTAGTAAAAAGGGTCTGGAATCCAAAAGATCTACGACTCTCTTTTGACAGATAGGTCTCAGAGGGTTCCCTTTCTTTGTTTTAAAGTCCCGTTTCTGGGTTTTGTGGCTATGAGAAGACGTTTCTCTACAATCGGGCCGATTCGAAGAGTGTGAAAAGAGACGGATTGAAGAGTTAACGCGTGAACAGAAGCTTGTGGGAGCCGTAAATACGCCGGGAGACAAGACATCTGAAGCTATCGGAGCCACCTAATCTGAT